GCATTACAATATTGCGTTACTCCCTAAAAAAGTAACTAATTACGTTACTTAGTTACTTTTTATGGAAAGTAATGCGTTATATTATTTGTGCGTTACTTTCGCTTTACTTTTTAAATATAAGCAGAGCTTGATTGTTTTTAATATAAGAAGTTCTGTTTATAGCAAATATAAAAGCCCTCTTTCACACCAAAAAGTGTAATGAATAAACCTCAGGCTGAAGCAAAAGTAAATTCACGTCTGTACAGTAGAACACAGGAGAAGAAACACTCTTCAGCAATAAAAAAAACAATGAAGCACAATTGTTAGTTTACCTAAAGTCATTTTTGCTTATTAGTTTGTTTGAACTGGATCATCAAAGGTCAGCAGCAAAGACATTGGTTAATAAAATGGAATTAGATACATTTGTGTTATTTAACATTTAATTATTGCAGGTTTGTGTCATATTCTGAGTTTGCATTTCACTGTTTTAATTCATTTTGATGAATACTACATCTATTTTTTTGCGAGTGGGATGAATTAATGCACATTCACATTTAGTCTAAAACTAATCATGTTTCATGTTCACACAGCGCACACAACGCCTCTGTACTCCCGATTTCTCCCAATATGGGGACATGTCAGTCAACAGTCAATAAATGGGAAAACAAAGTAACTGGCGTTACTTTTTTGAAAAAGTAACTATGCGTTACTTTACTAGTTACTTGAAAAAAAGTAATCTGATTACGTAACTCGCGTTACTTGTAACACTGAATATAAACATAATTATCTATCTATCTATCTATGCATATTTATTCTGTTATCCCAGTGGTCACAAATGTGACAGATTACTTGTTCACTTGTCCTGTGACTATAATTTCTATAAGATAGAACCAACTTTAAAAATGTAATAACAGACAACATAAACATTATGTAACATATGATTGTTGTATCTTTATTTTGACATGCTTATATTTTGTAGTGCTTTGACACACATTATGGATTTAAACAGCTCTTTACAGCAGCAAATGATAATGTTTACATTTCAAATCGAGACTTCAAATCTGTAGATATCATAAAATACAAACATCATGATGACAAACACACTGTATATTAGATGCATAACACCTCATACACACATTTATATATATATATACATGTTTGAAACATTTAACCAAATAAATTAGCTGATGATTGCTGAAGTCTCAAAACACACTTGCTTGACGCAACAGACTATAAAACCGAACCTTCAAAAGTATGTTTAGACCTTGCTATTCATTTGAACACATGTCTTAGGTTGATTAAAATTATTAAATGTAAATTTATGTATGTGTGTATATATATATATATATATATATATATATATATATATACATTTATAATTGAATTAAAAATAGTCATTTAAAAATTTTACAATTTAACTGAATTTATTTTATATATTATGTATACACACATTTATATGAATGTATTTGAATTTTTTAATAGAAAACATTTTTTGAAAGTTATATTTATACTTAATACAGTTATATTTTGTTACATTTATATGTATTACTTAAAGTGTAGGTATATATGTGTGTGTAGATAGATAGATAGATAGATAGACACATTTATTTATATTTTTACATTTATAATTTAATTTATAGTGAATAAATTACAATTATACACACACACACACACACACACACACACACTTCTTTATATTTTTACAATTCTAAATGAAAATAAATGGCTTAAATGTATTAATTGTTTTAATTATTAATTAATTTTACCATTAATTAATTAATTTTACCATTAAGAAGTATTTTCTTACCAAAATTGGCCCCCAGCACACACAGGAAACCAGCATGATTGCCAAAAGCTGGCAGACCATCTCAGAATGGTGTGATGTGTTACGGCTATGGCGATGATAATCTCGGTCAAGTTGTACCCTGCTCTGCAGGAGAGTGAGAAAAGTCACAGTATTGCACACCAGTGAGACGAGGAGAGCCAGCAAACCCAGCATACAGAACAGTATCGGCAGAAGCACGTCCACCCAGTCGCGCAGCCCCTGCAGCCTGAAGAAGCACCAGCTTCGCGAATGCTGCACCTGGTAGGACCGCTGAAGCAGGAGGGGCAGCAGGGCCACCAGCAGACCCAGCAGCCATGTCAAACCCAACAGCCTCTTGACGTGATGGGACCCCAGTGCCGTGGTGTGGAAGAGAGGACGGGTCACTCCGATACAGCGCTCCACCGCCATCAAGCTCCCAAGCAGCAGAGGGGTCAAGCCGAAGAAAGCCATACAAACTCCAAAAAAGTCACACAGAGACTTGTGAGGGTCGAATGTTTCCCAGTCTTTCTGTGAGGCGTAAACGTAGAGCGCCAGAGAGCCATTGATTAGGTGTCCCAAGAAGTCAGTCACCACCAGACCACTGGCAAACAAGAGGAAGGCTGCTTTAGACTTAAATCTAAACCTTTGGTAGGCTTTGATCAAGATGAAGAGGGCCAGAGTGTTGGAAACGATGCCCACTGTCATTGAGATGGCAGTCGAGGTCACAGACACTTCCTTTTTGGTACAGCTCCCATTACACACATCACTCGACACCACACATCCAGCATCAGCTGAGCCATTGTGAAGCATGATCGGCACTTTGCACTGCAAACAAACTAAATATTAGTGATATCATTTATGTTCAACAAAACTACAAGGTAAAACTCTAGACTGTCTTCATTTACAGTATAGAAACAGTCTATCAATCAATCAATCAATCAATCAGTCTCTCTATCTATCTATCTATCTATCTATCTATCTGTCTGTCTGTCTGTCTGTCTGTCTGTCTCTCATTGCGTTACTTGCTGTTTTGTGAAATTTATAGTCATTTCTGAGTGAAAATGGTTTATACAGACAGACAGACAGACAGACAGACAGACAGACAGACAGACAGACAGACAGACAGACAGACAGACAGACAGACAGACAGACAGACAGACAGACAGACAGACAGACAGACAGACAGACAGACAGACAGACAGACAGACAGACAGACAGACAGACAGACAGACAGACAGACAGACAGACAGACAGACAGACAGACAGACAGACAGACAGACAGACAGACAGACAGACAGACAGACAGACAGACAGACAGACAGACAGACAGACAGACAGACAGACAGACAGACAGACAGACAGACAGACAGACAGACAGACAGACAGACAGACAGACAGACAGACAAACAGACAGATAGATAGACAGACACAGACAGACAGACA